CCGAATTAAAATTCATCTTTATGAAAAAAAAGTCAACCGTCGATATGTATTTTTCGTTTCGTGCTATAAATAGCTAATCTAGCTACTCCAAAAACTTTAATTAATGCGCTGAAATAATTAATTAAAAAATTAAACTTATTTACTCAGCTTAGTTAGTTTGCATAAAAAGTGTTGACATTTGCTAAATTAACAAAAAATTTATATGAATTAATAAATAGGCACTAAAACAATTAATTGTGCTTGAAGGGTATCTAACACAAATTTTAGTTTAAATCACTTCAAGCGCATAGGCCAAATGCTATTTAGTCGTCATGCGAGAAGCAATTTATAACCAGCTATTCGCCCCAGATTTGCATTCGAAACTTAGTCAGTAGGCTATTATTTGGAGACGCGGTTGCGCAGGTCAGTGCAGCGTACATTTTAGCGCCAGTTACCTTACTAGTAGCGCGAAGACCTTAAAACCGAATAAAGGTACACACACACACATTCCGTTGCGTTGTTGCCTTGGTCAGTTGAGCGCACTGCAGGTGGGGACACAGGTTTGACACAGAGTCTATCTCACACGCATGCAAGGTGAGCGCTTTAAATAATGCGTATTTATATTTTAATTGTTCACGCGTTGCGCTAGTAAAATTCGTGCAAAAAAAAATTAAGCGAAAAATATTACCGCATAAATTACACCTGACAAGTTGACGTTTCGACCACAAACGAACGCGTAGCACTCAAAGATGAACCCGCGGCCCCGCGCTTAGCTTAACTTTGGCAGCGCTTAGCTGGTAATGAATGGCAGGTTAAGCCATTTTTGGTCGTCAGCGTTGTTGTTAAATATGTGAATGTAGTGCATTTCACATCAGTGCTGACAGTGTATTGCCATAAACTAGTAATTGTTTAGAGTGTTCGTTGATTGGTAGTAGTGTCCTGACACCTTTGATATCTTTAAATCATTAATACTTGTCGATGAATTTGATAAATGATAAATGCTTTTTTTTTAGTGTAGATTATTAAGTTTTATTTTTCGTTATATTTTGGGGATTATTGGAGTTATTTTGGAACATTATGGTTTTTTTTTAAAGCTTTTAGAAATTTTGCATGCTTTTTTAGGATTTCTTTGTGTGTTTATTTTTCAGAAATTCTGGGAGTTTTTCGGAGTTTTAATGGTATTTCGGGGTCATTTGGTAACTCGTAATTTTCTGACTTTTAGTTTTTGGGACCTTTTGGATTTTTCCAGAGCTTTTCTAGATGTTTTTCGAAACATTTCGGTTTTTTGGTTTCTTCATGTTTTATTTCTCTCAATATTTCCGTACCTTTTGTAAATTTTTTCGGAATATTTCGGACGGCTTTCAGGAATACTCGGACTTTTTCTTGTCGGGATTTTATGTTTTTTTGTTTTGTGTTTTATCGGCACTTTATGAGTTTTTTCGGGTCTATTGGACTTTTCGAGATTTTATTCCTGACGATTCGCTATTTTTCGGTATTCTTATTAAAAAAAAAAAAAAAACAATAAAGTAATTTACTTTTCCTCATTTCGGAATGAATTTTCATTTTATTCTGCAGTATAAAAAAATACGACAATAATTGGTTTTGTTTTTTAGCAGGGAGAAGGAAAATTTATTTTCGATTTTTATTTCAACGGCCGATGTAGCTCCAACCCAGCAAACAAATTTAGTGAAATTTGGTCCAAATCAAAAAAACTTAATAATTTTCTTGTCAATAGCTTACTAGAATTACAAGCTCAGTGCGGTAATGTATTTATTTAATCAAATTTTCAAAACAAATCAAAATTCAAAAATCAAAATTTAATCAAATCAGAAAAAAGGCACTTTCAATAGGGGTGATATTATTGATACCTACGAAGGGTAGCAAATTTCACTATTCGCGTGAAAGAGTAATGACAAAACCCTTTATTCGCAATGACATTATTTTTAGTGCAAAAAAATTTAGATTGCTCATTGAGCGCTTTGCCAAAACGCCCTTGCAATCGCAACTGTACAAAGTACTTTCAAACTTAAAAACATATGTATGTACATATACATACACATAAAAACCTACTACTTATGTTGATACATACACGTATTTTAGCCAGAAAGTACCAAAATGAGGAAATAAAATTTAACAGGCCAAGATGCCAAGTGTGATAATAAATATTTAAGTGAAGTGAGAGGCAAAAATCCTCACTAAAATTAAATTTGTACATATGTAAATGTTGACGAAGAGAAGTGCTGAAGTAGGACAACATGGAATACCTACTTACCTACAAATATTTAAGTAAGTGAACACATACATACATACTTGGCCTAATGCAATAACTGAACAGATGTTGCTATGGGCAAAAACCAGTAGGTACAATGCAAACATTAGTTAAAGATAGTCGAATTAAAGTGTCAAAATGGCGACTTATCATAAGCTGAGATGAATTTTTAAGCGAAAGCCAAAGTTTTCCAAGAAATTGCGAGTACTCGCATAATGCATGGATGTGTGCGTTTGTTTGTATTCAGAGAGTACTGTGGGTTATACAACAACAGGTGTCTTACTAGCGGCAAGTGAATGCGAAGAAGGCGCCAGTAATTGCGGGATCTACTTTAACTCGCTACTAAGATTAAAACAAAAAAATTATGACAGAAAAATTATAGCAAGACTGATGAGTTAAGTCAAGTGGGTAAGGAAGGCATGAATGCAAGAATAGGATGGGGCAGGGCAACGAAAGAGAAGTAAATGAGGCAACAAAAAAAATGACTAAGCCTCACCGCCTGCCGCTTTTCACACCATCCACCTGTTGTTGTTACATTGCCGAGGCTCTGCAGCGGTGCACAGCACAGAGGTTGCCACATTTTAATTAACAACAATTCATTTGTTAAAGTTAATTTGTTATTATCGCGACAGCGTAACTTTACAGCAACAGCAGCTGGCAATAGTGAGTAAGTAAGTTAGTAAGTAACAACAACAACAACAACAACAGCAAGTGCTGCAAAGCATCAAAATATGTATGAGATTAAAGCAAAGACTAAGCGTGAAGTCAAGAAAGCTAAAGATTAGACGGCGAGATGAGATCGCATTTTTGACGCTTGCGCGCAATACCAGCAGCCGCCAACCCGTAGTTAGTTAGGAGTCGAGTATTATGCCGCGTCACACAGTTTTATTATTGGCTTGCAACATCCATGCAAAGCTCCAGCAACCAGCTTCAGCTCCGACTACAGCTCCAATAATCTTGGCAGTTACACAAATAGCCGAAACCCTATTAACAATGTTGCCATTATCACATTAACACTTTTGTATGTATTTTTGCTGAAGCAAAGATGTAGCATACACGCATACACACGCATACACACGCACACACACACACTTGTGAAAGCTCATTCGTTTTTGAACAACAACTAACTTCCCACACAACGCGCTTTTAACCAATTTTCTTCTCTTCTTCTTCTACTTCTACGTCAAATTCACGAATGTGTACATTGTGGATGTGCGCTAAGCATAATCATTGTTTTTGTAGTTGGTGTCTTCCATGTCCACAGCGCATTGTGAGTGTTGAAAGGATTGTTTTTGTTATCGCGCTGGCACTAACAAATGGCGGCAAATTTTTCTTAATAAATGTTTAACATTTTTCTCTTTTGCAAGTTTGGCGGCGGTGCTTCCTCTCTCGGCAATTTTTATAGCGGTCATAAAAATAAAATATATTAACTTTGTAACGGTTTTCGATTAGGGCTATCAAGGCGTAAAGTACATAGTTGAACTCCCAAAATCGCAATTGTATTTAATGTGGTCTTCGAATGACCGAAGGTTGCGTTTGAGAAAAGCTTTTTTATGGGTCGAATTCGAAATTAGAAAAATCTTTGCTTACGGATAATTAGGGCGCAAATTAGAAATAATACTAATAAGGGAGATAATGAGAGATATTAGGGGTAGTAGTTGGAACGATTTTCCTCATAGTAAATTATTGTTGCCATGAAGTTTGTGGTTACTGTAAGGTATTCGTTTTATAACGAGCGGACAGACTAATGAAACGATAGTCTGTGATGCGAACCATGTACCGTTTATTGATCGAGTAAACCTATTTCCATATGGACCCCTCGTGCTCCATCAACATCTCGCTAGGTTCCAACTCGTCCCTCGTATTCGCGTCACTGCATCATATTAAGAGTCGCTTTGAAGTATTAGCAGCATGGCCACATCTCGAGTTTGTGAAGGTGGCGTCTTCACAGAGAAAAATATGACCATCATAGCCGAATAGGAAGGTCTTTAAACTGCCATTCAGTAGGTTTCGGGTCCGAGGATAGGCCAGCGCAGACTTTTTTTATTCTGACAAAAAATTAAAAGGCTTTCTTGTTGAAGAAAACCCATAGGTATCTCCTTACTCTTGTTCTATATTATTAGGTGACTTTCGCTCTGCATTATTTTGGAACGCCTTGCTGAACTACTTGTTAGAATTCTTAATTTTTCCTTCCCCAGCAGTTTCTCTTTTTTCTCTCTTGCCCTCTTAAGTTCTTCTCTGATGGTTTGTGATCTTAACGCAAATTAGTGCTTAATACTTATTGGTGTTTTGTTTGCAATCTTTTTGGTAAAAATGTCTGCCGCTTCATTTCCTTCTGTACCTTCGCGCGCCGAAACTTGGAGGAAGAATACCCTGCTGTTTGTCCTCATAATCACCCAAATTCTTATAGCTCAGTTTGTAGGCTCGATACCGTAGGAAAGCTTCTAGACTAAGTAAAGCCTTCATATTATATTACGATCTAAAGGCCATGCACCTAACTGGTCGGCTTATGAAATGCTTTTGAAATGTAAGCAATATCGACAAAACACTGGGAAGGTGCTATTACTGTTTTACCGCCTTGAACGTTGTCTTTACATTATATGTATTAGATTTGCTATAACTTAATATGTATGTTAATATTTTTATTGCGTGTAGAATATCTAATTACTAATTATATTACTGTATTATATTATATTGGTCAGAAAAGAGAAAATATCGTTACTAATTGCTTCTAAATTATCTACCACCACAGATTCTGGAGTCCAGCAATGAGGAGCAACGCCCACCCAATGAGCCCAATGGCAATTCACTTGCACAGCGTGCTTCCTGGTTGAATAAGTTGAATGGCGTTGATGGGATGGATACGCCTCGAAAGTATGGCCCACGCGGTGCCTATGACAATGGACGCTACTATTAAATTAAAGCAGATCAGTTATATTAAAAAAAAATGGCAGAACGAGAGGAGTGAATGAGAGGAACTTATTGGTTAGTTATGGAAAGCTTAGAAGAGAAATGAAGCGCAAACAAAAGATAACGTAAAATAAAGTAGGCAGTGCTCTTAAGCGAACTGAAGTAATTGTCTGTGGAGTAATGAAAATAGCATCGTCATGAAAGTTACTCAGTAATAGTTATCCGGAGCGACATCTACAAACCGAGAATATAGGCTTTTCATTTATTTAGTTAAACGAAAAACATCTTCTCCGAAAAACTAAAAAGTGGCGTTTTGCTTTAAAACCTTTCACATACGTATGAAGTTCAATGAGAACGAGCTTTTGCTTATATCTATAGAAAAATGTCAAAAACAGAAGCACCTTACAAACTTATTGTTTTGTTAATTTTTAGCAAAGTTTTTAATGGTCCAACTTTTGTGGATACATTAGAGGAATGACCTCTACAACCTATCTTGTAAATGTTTTTTAATATCATCTTCTGTAATGAGCTTCGTTAAGCTTTCGAAAGCCTGAACTGAGAGAACTTCTATGTTGTGTCGTCTTATTTTAAAAAAGCTTAGAAAAACTTGGCACATATTTTTAACTCTCTATGCTTTTATTGTGTGACGCAAGAACTGAAGCCCATCACTTCTCTAACTATTAAACCAAGTTTTTGTTTATCTGTAGATTCTCACTCTTAAGAGTCTTTGCTTACAGCAGCGATGGGCAGGGAGAGCTTTTACTCTGCCTGCGTCTATACCGGCGATGAGCACTGAGTAAAAGCTCTCGCTGCCCATCGCTGGTCTATACACAATACATAGAAAGCTTAAAAGAGCTTTGCCTGTAATGATGGCCAGAGAAAGCTTTCACTCTTTGTACGTACGTATATAAATATAAAACAGTGACCGAGACCGAGAGGAAAGCTTTTCTCGCGAATTTAATCTAAGTTAAAGACCTAACTCCTACATTTTTCTTTACTTTATAAGTTTTTCCAATAAACGGGTCATTAATATATGAATTTCATCTTAAATCTGCAAGCTCGGGTAATATATAGAACATTAGTTTGAAGCTTTCATTTCACTTTCATTTGCAATAATTTTCTAAATTTGAATGGATGTAGGTTTTTTTGTGGAGGCTTTTTGAAAGCTTGTTATTTCATCCAAATTAAATAATTTAGAATTTTTATTTTTGTGTGGTTTTAAGGAACACAATTTAAGCTTTCATTTAAAATTTGAGCTTTCCTTAAAATAAATTTGTAATTTAAGTCATTTAATTGTTAAAGAACAATAATTCATCTATATACTCGTATGTATGTGCTATAAAAACAATATAGTTTAGATGAAAAACTTCAAATGTTCCTAAATATTTATGTAACAGACACAATAATTATTAACCTCATAAATGTATGTACTATATTGAGCTTTTAAAGAAAGTTGTAGCCAAATAAAATGGTTTTTAATTCTTTTATTCATCTTCATGTATTATACTATAAGTGTGTTTATTAAACGAGCGGCGAACAACATAAACAACTGTTATTATTGTATATACGTAATGTATTCAAAAATAAATAATTTATTCATACGTGTTATCCAATTGTAAATGTTGACATAAAAACAATAATTTTTCGTAGTTTTTAGTCAAATGCGAATACAGAGAAAAATTACACACAAAAAAAAATTTGGGAAAACCGTATTTTAAGTAATCGAAAATATTACAAAAAAACCGAAAGCAAAAGGACGTTGTATTCCAGATGGGAAACATTTTAAGTGAAATTTTAAATAAATACATAAATATATATCTACCCATGTTCGTGCATATGTAAGTTGTATCAATCAGATCGGGGCAGCTTTATGTTTAACAATAAATAAATAACAAAAATATTTTAAGGTTTTGAATTATTACTAAATACATAGTGTGTCTATATATCCGTGAGGATCACAGAAAGCTTTTAATGCGCTCAAAGCTTTTAATATAACCTTCCCCGCTGTATATGTGTATGAATTGGTCGGGGATGATTTATTTCGTTCAGTTGTAGGTGTATTAGTATGTATGCCAGTAGAAGACTCTGCGCGCAGACTTAAAAAATCTACTAAATTTTATAAAAAGCGTTTAGTTAGCAGGCTGGAAAGCTGCCTAGAGACTGTAGAAAAAAATTACTTAGTCGGCATATAAATGGTTACAAGACAAGATATGCTTCCTCAAGAGATCGGAAGGAAGTCATGTGATAGAATTTTCCAATTGCGTTGGCGAAAAAGCAGTGGTAAGCAGTGCGCGCTTCCACTCCGCAGGCCTGGGTTCAAGCCCTGGTCAAAGCTACATCGTCCCCTTGGCAGGCAATGGCAAACGTCCGAGTGTATTTCTGCCATGAAAAACAGCTTCTCATAAAATTGTAAACGCCGTTCGGTGTCGGTGTGAAACTGTAGGTCCCTCCCCTTTGTGTGACAACATCAACAGTGTTGCCAGTTTAGATTTCTTTGTCGTTTAGCTTCGGAATTTAGGATTTAGCTTCGTGGCTTTTTTCTAGCCGTTTCTTATTTTTAAAACTAGCATTTTTTTAAGGACAATCCTCCACAATATTTGTAGTTGCACTAAATTATTGTACCAACTCAGTTTTACTTGCCGAAATGTTAAGCGAATATCACCCGTCGGCATTGCTCCATCTGACGAAATTTACTCAGCGAACTCGTTCTGTTTATACTTAAACAGTTTTTCAGGTGCTCTCAAGTGTCCCTATAAAACCAGGGAAAGCATGTTATTTCTTAGAACTCCGCACCCCACGGGAATGACGTCAAGCACTACATCGTGAGCGGGAAAGGTATTTAGTCGCCGCTGCTATGCCGTAGCCGTTCGGGGGTCCTTAGCCCCTTCATCGCCTCTGCTATTGCGTCACATGCTGACGATCATATTTCGCTGCTTTGTAGCATAGCCTCCATCTGGTACGAAGCTTGCATCTGGTACTGTCAAATCGCATACACTCAAAAAAAAAACGTCTTCTATTACATCTCCTCTGCAGTAGTCGCATATGGGTTCCGGTTCGTGTTTGAATCGGTGAAGGTATGCTTTGAAGCACTCATGTCGAGTTAAGCAGTTTGTCAAATAGAAATCGACTTCGCCGTTTAGCCTGCTTCATTTGGGTTTATATACGGTTTGCTTTTAACTATGCACACTCCAATTGAAACATTCACGATTGTAATCGTATTGTAAGGTATGACGATATTTCATGGTACAAATGTACTACTTTGTCTGTAAGGGCCATGGATTTTCAGACCCTAAAAAAAGAGTCACCTTTGAACACCTACATGAAATGTTGATAAGGCTGGCTTTTTTTAACCTTTTTTTAACCTTTTTTGGGCCATTTAGGTTTTCTTAGCTTTTTTATTTGGCCGATTTAGCTTTTTTATTTTTGAAGTCCTGGCAACACTGAACATCAAGACGCACACCACAATTGTGTAAGCGCCAATCTATTATTATTATTTTGTTGACGAAAATCTATCCAAACTAAGTGCTATATAACCATAATTATGTAGTTCCTAACACTAAGTGATCCGGCTGTGTGGACGAATACAACTGATTTCAGTTTTACCCTGGCCAACACCGGACAAATACATACAATGATGGATATTCGTTGAGGTATGCCCGGCGACCTGGTGAGCTATTGTACCCAATTTTTCCCTTAACCAGAGTCATATTGTCACGTCGGTCGTGGCTTGTCTTACATGGACTAATTCCGAGTTTGGAATCTTTGATTCCACTTTCAAATGGCAAATTGGGACTCATTGAAAATTTCCACAGGCTTGAGTTGACGTCGAAAGCCGTAAAGAGCTGTAAGACGAATTTCTTCCTGCATTGGTGACGGAATTTCTCCCGACCTCTCGCTAGATGTTTTACGTCTTCTCGCCTCCATTCCTACCGATTTCTCTGAAAATTAAAAAGGAACTTCCTAAGATTACTACAAAACATGTATCATTTTGAGATTTTTGAAAGTCGCTTACAATAGTCCCCTCACTATATATATGTATGTATGTATGTATGTAGGTGCAGAAAGGTAAGATGCTGCTCTATGGCATCGAATTTGGTCGATTTCGCACAGAGATTCGGTGCTTTTTTAACGCTTTCGAGAAAAGTAATCTGTTTAAAACGGCGATGGGCAGAGAGAGCTTTTACTCTAAATAAAATGTATAGAAAGCTTTATAGAGCTTTGCCCGTGGGCAAGGCAGTACCCATCACGGGTGTAAAATCTTCAGTTAGCCCGCGTAGGTAAAGCTTATCGAATAAGATGGAATGACGAGTCGTACCAACTAAAATACAACGATATAGCTTACTGGGACTTTTCGTAGAAATGGAAGCTGATGCTCTGGGATAATTATCCTTTGACTTGGCACTCATGAATAGATGGAAGCTTACAGCTTTTTATGGTGAATTCAAATATCTTATAGATATGTATGTTTGTATATGCAGCGAGCAAGTGCTTGTGCACTTAAAGTTCATTAAAGAAAATAGTTTATTTTAAGAAATGTAAGATGACACCAAGGTATGTTGCTTGAACCAGAACACGCGGTGAAAGAATCATGACAAAAAGGAAAAAAAGGAAACATTTGTATGTTCTTATAAATAAAGCATCAAGAAGGTCAAGCTTCCCTTCTAATTGAGTCTTAATTCAAGCGAATAAGTACAAAATCACACAGCACAAAATAAAATAAATGCCAACAGCAAAAAAAACCTAAGGAAAGAGCAACGGTGTTGACATTAAGAAACAAGTAATTTTTAGCAAAAAAAAACCGACTTCAAATCCCATATAAAAAATATATATATATATATATATATCATGATCCACAGATCGGATCTCAACCAGATTAGTATGGGACCACCTCTGAGACACTACATTTCCGATGAAAAATTATCGAAATCGGTTGACGTGGTCCAAAGTTATGCGGTAACATACATAAAAAAAAAAAAAATATTCCGACGAACTGATAACCTCCTCCTTTTTTGGAAGTCGGTTAATAATGCGACGAAGAGCAAAAACGAAAATTGTGTAAGTTAACCCAAAAATAACGTTTTTGTTGTTGTTAAAACGTTAAGACGTCATAATTAGGTTTTCATTGTCAGTTCAAAAGCTTCTCTCTAACAAGTCTTGTCGACCCTTACATTATACGGTTAGTCCCTCTTACCCGAAAATAAACCAAAAAAAAAAAACTTTTGCTTTTATGGTTGTCACCGCTGCGGTTGTCACTCTTGTTTTGCGGTCATGTTGCTGTTTGCTGCTGCTGCTGCTGTTGACGTGCGACAAATTATGTTTCGCCACATGAAGAACATCAACAAAAAAAAAGTAGAGACAAAAACACAAAACGGGGCACTAAAAGCAAAAAAGGACAGCCACGATAAAAGCGTAGTGCTGTAAATATTTCTTTCTGTTCGCAGTTTGGTTTTTTGTTTTTTAACGAAATTTCGGATTGCTGTTGCTGGCTGCGCGTCTTCAACTTCATCTTTTACTCCCCAACGATTGGTGGCCACTTAAAATTTTTTTCATTTATATATACCTTCGCTTGCACGCAGAGTCAACAAAAGCTGTTTAGTTAAATCTGTGGTCATAAGCAATAACCGCCTAAGTCGACTTAAGGAAAGAATTGAGTTATATATGCTACTACGTATTCTGCAACTACTATTTATTCCATGTGTATGTGAAATATCCATCTCGTCAGCTGGGCTATAGACGAACATATTTTGGTTTACCCAAATGTTTAAAACGTTTTTTCTCGAATTCCGGTTTTTCGACTTAAGCGGTTATTGGTTATGACCACAGAAACATGGAAATAGTGTTTTTCCCTTCTTTTGTTAATTCGGAAGTTAATGTGTGTTTTAGCTGTTGTCTGACCTTGCCTTTAATTTAACAACTTTGATTTTGTTCACTAAGTTTTTGAACTTTTGCTATTATTGTGATTTTTATTATCTTAAAGTTCTTTAGTTTGGGTTGCAATAAAAAGGAAGTTGTTTTGACTGTAACTACGTATGTACATACATATATGTATATATGGGAAGATATGTGAAACAAATTTTTGTAC